GTGTGGACGCGCCGCGCACGCGCGGAGGCCGGCGAGGGGCGGGGACTGCGGGGCCCGGTGTCTGCTTGGGGACCGTGTCTGAACTCTCCCCAAGTGCTCTGGCTTCAGTGTCCCCGTGCCGAGAAGTGAGGTGACTGAAGCTGGTGCGGTTAACAAGGGGCTCTAGCACTCTGCTGGTAATGCGGAGTTGGGCCCTCTTAAGTGTAAAATTTTTGGCCACTTATTAGAACCAAGTTTGATGACAACTTCCACTTTTGGTCTATTTTGAATGGATGCCTCCTTCCAACCTGGCCAGGAGAATTTAAAAGTAATACGAGTATTGAGACTACAGCAACAGCAAAACCCTTTGCCATCGAGTCGATCCGACTCATAGCGACCCCACAGAGAGTTTCCAAGGCAGTAAATCTTCACGGGACTAGATTGCCTCACCTATCTCCCCCAGAGCGGCCTGTGGGCGTGAATCTCCCACTTTGTGTTTGCAGCCAACCGCTTACTCAGGGCTACCTTCCTTAAGGACAAAAAAGGATTGGCCTATAAAAATAGGACACTACTCTTGCCTGGTACTTTTATGTGTCAGAAGGTGTACATTTGAGTGGTGAGAAAACGATTTTGCAATGTTGAGGACTAATGTATTTCGTATATCGCACAAAAACGGCAATTGCCAAGTTCCCGTTTATTTCTCTTAGAACATACTTGTTTCCATTCCAGCTTTGTTGCTGTAAGCAGCCTTACTTCTCGGTTTTAGCCTACTCATGTCTTTATGGTTGAGGTTTACAGTCCTTTTTAAAACAAAAGTTTCCATATTTTAGACTAGATTGAAGCCCTCCCCATTATGGAAAAAGTATGAGTCATAGAATCATCTATATGTGATATTTGTGACAATCCTATATTAATCTGATCATTTGATTAGTCATATAACTTCATTAACCACTTCAGTCTTGCTCCTCAAGCTTTTATTTTGAGGTGGAGGGATGGACAGTTTTTTAAATTTACTTTTCAGATTTCTCACTTGTGACTTTCTTATCAAAACCTGTACTAGAAGGGAGACAGGTGATAAAATTTACAGCTTTGTTGCAAGTTTTAAAAACATTTATGCTGGCTAATTTGTACATTTTTCATGTATAACTGCTGTGCATTTGTACATTATTAAAACGTACAGTTTTCCTGTTTCTAGTAGTATCTGGAGACATTCTTGATTGTTCAAACTCATGGAGAGAGGGGTGCCGCTAGCATCTACTATGTAGACCACAGATACTGCCAGACACCCTGCAGTGCACAGAGCAGCCCCCCCAAATGTCATTAATGTCAAGGGTGAGAAAGTAGTGGGTTTTAATCTGAGTTGGTCGTGGGTTTGACTCAGAAATGGGTCTTATAGGACCTACCTACAGAATTAGTGAGTTACATGAAATGTGCCTATTGGTCAGCACAGCATCTGGCATTTAAGTTGCCCCATCCAAACATCACTGCCATCGAGTCAGTGTTAACCCATAGCAACCCTGTGGGACAGGGCAGAACTACCCCTTTGCGTTTTGGAGACTGTTTAATTCTTTACAGGAGGAGAAAACTCTGTCTTTCTCCTGTGGAGCGGCTGATGGTTTTGAACTGCTGACTTTGAGGTTAGCAGCCCATTGTATAACCACTACACCACCAGGGCTCCTCACAATACATAATAGAATGTAAATGTAGGCTGTTGCCTTTACACATATTACTCGGAATTGAATCCATTGACTTTAAATGATTTCACTCCTTCCTTATTCAGACAATGTATTGAGTCCTTATAATGGACCCAGCACTCACTGTTTTAGATCTAATTAATTATAAGGTGTACCCCCCAAAACTGGAATTGCGCTGGGCAGAGCTATTGAAGTATGCATTTTTCATGCTAGGTGAGCATCAAGCAACCCACTGAGTTAGTGTACCCAGTGGCGTCACAGTGAATTTTTTCATAAAAGCCCTTTCGCTAAAACCTCGTTTTTTTTGTGATGGCCGATTTAAAAGAAGGGTGTGCAGCTGTGGAATTTTGTTTTTGCTGGGGGAAGGGGACTGCGATAGACACTGTTGTGATGTTGAATATAGCCTACAAGGACAGCACTATGGGGAAAACTCAAGTGTACAAGTGGCTTTCTCATTCAAAAAAGGTGTGATGTCGATTGATGACAAACCTCACTCTGGATGTTCAGCAACTTCCTGGATGGACGAAAATGTTGACTTGTAGTGCATTTGGAGTTTGTTCCACCAGGTCAGACTGTTAATCAAGCTTTCTGTCTAGAGGTTCTGAAAAGACTGCATAACAGTGTGTGTCAAAAAAAAGGCCTGATTTGTGGCAGGCGACATTAGTTTTGCCACCACAACAATGCTCCTGCTCACGCAGCCATCTCACTGTCAGTTTTTGGCAAAAACAGCATGCCTCTCTTGCCCCACGCACCTTATTTACTTAACCTTGTTCCATGTGACTTCTTTTTGTTTCCACAAATGAAGAGGGACATGAAAGGACAGCGATTTGACATGTAGAAGAGGTGACAAAAAAACAAAAACAAAAAACAACAACCAAGGAAGGTGCTGTGAGCTATCGAAACAGATGAGTTTGAAAAGTTTCCAAGAATAGAATAGATTTGACAAAATTAAGTGTAATGGAGAGTACTTTGAAAGTGATTAGGTTGTTTTGTAAAAAATATTCAAATACATAGCTTTGAAAAAAATTCCATATTTTGGAGGGTACTCCCTCCCAATTTATACCTTTTGACCTGCAGTTTTGTTTCTGCCAAATTTTAGTTGAGAAATATCCATTCAAAGATAGAGGCTTGGCCCAATGCAATTCTTTATACAAAGCCATTCATTTTTTTGAGATATAGTTTACATATAATTGAATTCAGCTTTTTAATGTTTATTATGCCCTAATATATTAAAATTTAATATGTAGACTTGTTAAGAGGAATGCTTTATATGGAATTGACAGTTATTCAGTGTATATTAGGGGACATTATGAAGTATTAGGGCATGTGCCCCAGTGTCACAGTGATTCAGCACTTGGTCTGCAGCAGAAGAGGTGGCAGGCCGCCTTCTTCCTTAAGGGTTTCCAGCCTGGGAAATCTCATGGAGCAGTTCTGCTTTGCCATGTAAGGTCACTATGAGCCAACTGAGACAGGGTTGGCTTCGTTTCATTAGAACATGATAACAGCTTTTAAAATCTTTTGTTCTTAGATGTTTGCCATGTATTTTTGTTCCTAAATATATCCATACAACATGATCTTTTATCAAGTCTTATCTTTTTTCTTTTTTATACAAGAAATCTCCTTTACAGACAATAGGTGAAGAACAAAGCCAGAACCCCTACACTGAACTGATTGTACTGAAAGCTCATCACGATATCGTACGGTTTTTGGTACAGTTAGATGACTACAGGTAAGACCTTACTTGTCTGACTAGTGCTTGCAAAGAATTTTTATCAGATTTCATATTAAAATTAAAGAATTTCCAAATCAATGCTACATTTTCTAAAGCCGCCAGAATGCTGATCAATAGTTATATTCAGTGGAAATTGACCTTGGCATCTTGAGGAAGTGTGTAGTTTTTTCTGCCCAAAGTCAGGATTTTATATCTGGTAATTTGAAGTAGTGTTTGTATTCTCTGAAATATTTTTGTTTAGAGCCAGTATATGAATTTAAAATTTGGATGAGGGTTCTAACCGTATATTAAGGTGAACCTGAATTTGAAAAACAAATAGGGTGAATGGTTAGATATCAGTTATTTACCAAGATGTGCTATTTTGACTGGAAGGTAATGTGAAGTGTAATCTGATGAAATCGCTTTTAAATATATGTTATTCCGTACCTTTTTGCTAAGATTGTAAAATATTGTGCTTAATATATCTGACCAGTAGAGATGAAGCTATGCCAGCCATTAGGCTGTAGATTTAGCTTAATACTGATCTGCAGTTATTTGCTTTCTAAGTCCAGAATTAAGGATGTATTTAGCCATTTGTGTTCTCACTCACACAACACTCCCTACTTTTTAGTCTAGATTTTGTAATGCATGGCAGTGGCTATGTAGAACGCAGCGTACTCTTGATTAAAGGATTTATTAAGGAAGTTAACAGGTCACAATGTGGGTGAGAAATGTTCAGGATATAATTATTCAATCAGGACATGTTACAAAGTTTCCTCGGGGCTGCCTATAAATGTGCAAAAGGCATGCCACTCCACTATCAGCCTCAACCCAAAGGTGCTCAGCTCCAGCCTCAACCAAAAGGTGCTCAGCTCCAGCTCTCTGAGTCAGTGAACTGAACCACCTTTCTTCCAAAAGTACTTAGCGACTTGCTCTGTGAGCTTGAAGCCCACCACTCTTGTCTCATGCTGTGAGTCCTGGTGCTGCTGCTGCTGCTCCTCTGTGACTCCTCTGATGTCACTGCTGTCTTCTGTGTCAGGGAGGTTCACTCCACAGGGATCCCTGGGTCCAGAGGATGCGCTCCACTCCTGGCTCTTGTTCGTAATGAGATCCCCACTCCTGCTTCTCAGAGGGTTCATTTTATACTCAGCATGATGGCAATCACAAGTGAGTCTTATCCGTGTCTTCTCCCACCTTTTTACCCAGATCCATGTAGGAAAAGATTGTTTGATGGGAGTTACAAAGACTTTGGCTGGAAGACCCACATTAAGCAATTCACTGCTCCTGTAGACTAGCCCCTTGGCTCTTCTAGTCATTGCCCCTTTTATACATGAAGGATTACCATATATACTCGAGTATAAGCTGACCCTAATATCAGCTGAGGCACTTAATTTTTTTTTTAAACATTTTATTAGGGGCTCATACAACTGTTATCGCAATCCATACACACATCAATTGTGTAAAGCGCATTTGTACATCATTCT